TTTCAGGACTCAGCATATTTCACATCCAGTAGTTGCATGTTGGAGAGAGTACCGATTGGTGCTTGTGTTGTGATTCAAGAACTCCATCATGGGATCAGAAAAATTGGTATATCATAAATCTTTTTTTGACTATCAACTATCATGTTATTATTTAGCATCACATGTTGACTGTGCTATGTTTTTTTTCCTCAGATGTACTCATTAATTGCTGCAGATAATCATCAGATATGTTAACGATCATGGCGTTATTATTCGTGATGACAATTGGTGCACTAGTGCTTGCAAAACTTGCTGACAATGGATTTAGAGTTGAATGCTTCTCCTGAATAGGAATCTGAACCGGGTTTTCTTGAGTAATTATAATTACAATTTATTCGTCACAATGATGTTTTATAATATATATTATGACTCACATTACTCAAAGATTTACAATTTTTTTTTATTAGACAATACAATAAATCATTATTACTATACTTGTACAGTATTACAATTAGTTTGTCATAATGATCATATAACATATATACTATGACTCATATGACTCAAAGATTTAGATAAAAAATTTCTTATAAAATCCCTTAATTTCTATTTTTTTTTTTTTTTATAATTCACTTATCTTTTTTCTATTCCCTTATCTTTTTTCTATATAATTCTCTTATCTTTTATTTTTCATCTTTTATTTTTCTATCTTTTATTTTTTCTTTAGAGAAAGTGGTAACATTCTTTTTAATTTAATCTAATTTTAAAATTATCCTTTTATCTTAAGTTACCTAATTTTAAAATTAAGAAAAGAGCAAGAAAAACATAACAAGAAGATTGGAAGGAACATTTTATTCTTTGGTTATATGTTTGAGGACCTTTATAATACTCTACTGGTGAAAGATCAAAAGACCTCCTTTTAAAACTATCACAATTGGATAATAAATATAAGGTACTATTTTTGTCACTAAATGCTTGCCGTGAAGGTTGTTGAAAGACAACTCCAAGTGCACCTAATCAAAGGTAGTTAGCAAATGCGCACCCTGATTAGTGTATTGATTTAGATGGTGGGATCCTAGGATCCCCTTTGTTGAGGTCTATCATTCTGGAGGAGGAATGGTTATGTACCTTCCTCAACAAACCAATATTGTTTGGCATCTTTTTCAAGCAGTTGTTTTTGTTTTATTAGGGTTTTTTTGATTCAGAGAACTGGAAGCGCTTCGTGGCCACAGTTTGGGCAACCTGCTGTGAACGTCCTTCTCTGTTTTCAGAAATCCTCTGATGAGGCAAATCTCTGTGTGCGAGGTTTTGTTATACAGATGCTTTCTGAAAGACGCCCTTAATATATTTCATAAATGTATCATGTTTTCATCAACTATTCATGTTGAGGTTTTTTGGTTAAATAGTACTAGTACTTACATTTTCTTTCTTTATTTCAGATTTTCATAGGATTTCTTAAAAAAAATTTACTTTAGTGAAGTGTGTTTTCACGGATCCACGGATCCATCTAGATCATAACTCTAGATTGTGAGATATCTCTAAATTTTTAAGACCCCAATACATTCTTTCTTCAAGTCGTCGTAAAGCATTAACATTAACTGTTAGCCTTATGTTTATTACAAATTAAAAGAACAATTTCGCAAATAAAAAATAAAATTGATATTACGCACTATAAACTATTTCGTAGGATTGTATAATTCTGCAGTTGTAAATTTATAATGAGAAATAAAAAAAAACAAGACCTTTTTTTTTGTTTTAAAAGAAAAATAAAATTAAAAAAAAAAAATTCAATTTTATTACGGTGAAGTAATTGTCGGTGTGTTAAGTGCGACCCAATAATTGATGTGCCAATGCAAAAGTAATATTATCAGAGAACTTGATGGAAATGAAGTCAAATAAAAACATTTCTTGACATTCATCAATTCACTAATGAATAAAATTAAAAAAGCTAAGGATACATAATTTCATATTCAGTACGATTAATTCAACAATCAGTTTATTTAATTCAAAAATTGTGAACTTACAAATGTTGAATGATACAAAATAATTTCTTATTTCATTCATATTTCCATACATTAATATTGAGTGATATAAACTACAAAATAGCAAGTTCTATGTGATATCAAATCTATTATAAAGAAATAAATTTTCCCTGTTATTTAGGAAGAATTTCAATAAATGGTTCAGAATAATAAAAAAGGTAAGAGCATCATATAAAATGAACAAAGATATTATAAAATTGAAATTATTCTAAATCACTTATAAAACTAGTTTCAGATACTGAGTAAACTAAAGGTAGGTATGGCTTATAGTTGTATGTAATATTTCACATATAATTTAAACTAACCGTATTCTTAAAAATTAATAGCTCGTAAGTTATTAAGTTATCGTATTATTTTATTCAGTTATATAAAAGACAATAGAATTAAGTAATTCAACCTAGTGCATCTGTCATCCGGACGAAAACTGTTATTTAACGAAAATCCAGATAAAAAAAGATTATTTCAAAAATCAGTCTTACCATTATATGCGTAACGCCAAGTAAGCCTTAAATTGTTAAAATCTGATCACTAGTTTCGGAAATATTTTAAGTTATCCGAAACTTGGCAATCCGGCGGATGGATCTGACGAAATCATCCGGATTTTCGGTTTAATCCGGATCAATCCGTACACGGATCGAAGGACTAATTCAACCGTTATTATTCAAATTATAATTTATTTAATTATCATCAATTTTATAGTTAATAAGTTCAGTCATTAGATGTTACTATTTTTGTTATGTTTTGTTATGTTATACATTATATTCAAATAACTAAATTCTCCATTAAAATACTCAATAATGTTGCAAAAGTAAGTATTTACACGTATATATCTTGTGAAAAATATTTGCATTGATATTATTTATTCAAATAATTAGATTGTAAGTTATTGTATATATTTAATTTTATATATTATATTATTATTAATTGATCATTCTATTTTAAAATTATAATAAATAAATAATATTACGAAGTGTAAGCTATTGTATTTTTATATAAATATATGTTACCTGTCAAGATAAAACTAAAGAATAGAAATTTAAATAGGCATATTTCAAATAAAACATATATAGAGAGAATTATATAATGACTTTTCTTTTCTGCCATTCTTTAGCAATAATTAGTCTCAAAAGCCTTTACCTTTTCAAGGTAATAATTTAGATTATAATTTATAAGATTTATGAAATCTGAAACTGTTTATCTTTTCAAATTTGCCTTCATGATAGCAATTACCAAAGAAAGTAACCTTTGTGGTACGTGATTGGTCCAACTTACAATATAAGACTCTAATTTATTTGGCAATAATATTACTGATTGTTTAAAGTATATGATGTAATATTATTTCGGAAATATTTTTATGTGAACTGAATACTTAAAACCTCACCCAGTGCCTCAACAATTTGCCTCCAAAAAAAATTTCAATACTTTTTAGATATTTACATCTTTTAAGAATTAATAATAACATTCCAATTCATTATTAATAATAACATTCCAATTCATTATTATTAAATCCGGCAGAAAGTTTTCTAAGATTGGTACAGAACTTAGAAATTGCTAGATATAATAAATTATTATCACCTGAAATTTCAACTATAGATAATTCTTTTGAATTTTTATTTTTCCATTATTTTCTAAGAATCTTCTTAATATACTTCGTTATTTGTACGAGAATAAAGTTTTAAAATTTTTAATTGTGGAAAACTAACATATTATAAATTGAGAATTTAGCAATAAATGACAATGACAAGGTATTCAGAAGTTTTCTTACTAAAGAAAAACGCAGTTGTGATTAAAATAGTGATTCCGTTTTAGATAAAATTTCTTTTGACTCATTTGGAAGGCAAGAAACTAAGGTATTAAAATTTGAAATATTATATCTACAACTATATTTCCAAAAATTCTTACTGAAAGTTCACACCAAAGACGATTAACTAATATGCATGAATGTAAGTAGATCTGTCATTATCTAACGAATTCAAAAATCTCGTTCAAGCAATCAGTATGAGCTTGAATTATTATTTTTTAATTATTGAGAGAAGAAGGTTTAAATTTTTTAAATGAGACGAAAAACAGGACCCGAGTAAATATATATAAGGGTAACAAGAAAAGCAAAAAATTTTATAATAGCTCTATGCAAGGCTTTTTATTAAGATTAATAAGCAAACTCAATGTGTTACTTCACAATTTGCCCGATAATAAGCAACTTAATCGTATGGCTTCATAATAGTTTTTTTATATTTATTTGGTAAATAAGAATTCATTTTATTTATTTTTCATTCGCTGATTAAATGATATACCAACTGTATCATTTATTCAATAATATTATCCAACCAAAATATTCATCATGATATAAATTTTATGTTTTATAATAAAAGTTGTATTTCCATGTTGTTAAATATGACATGTTTCACAATTTATTACTAAGATCACATGCAGAATTTGCTTGCACATGTGACGCTCATAACGTAAATAAATCTGTGGGACGCTTTTTCTATTAATTATTTTAGTAGTTGCGTAATAAATTCTCAAATAGTATAAAGATCCCATTTATTTTGTAAAACTTTATCTATTACATTAAATATTATCACATTTATCCAAAAAATAAGCAATTGTAACATATGACTTTCAACAAAATTAAGCAAATGAAAATATGTAAATATCGTTAATTTTACGCATATCTAAACTCCAACTGTGGCAAAAATAGCATGTTACTAAACAAAATTCCTTGTTATCCCTATATATCTTAAATAATTGTATAGGTTGTGTTACAAACATAAAGGTCATGTTACTTATAGTTCATTTTCATTGAATATAGACTTACCGAATTTAGTAGATCAGTCATATGATTATCGGATGAGTAAGCAATAATCAGCAGCGAGGCAAGAAAACTCATAAATGATAAAAAAGTTATATTTTTTGTTAATACAAAAACGTATTTTTCGAATTATTTTTATGTGAATAGATATTAGACAAAAAAAAAAGCAATGCTACCTGTGAGGTTCGAACTCACAACCTTCAGCTTATGGGACTGACGCGACTGCCTATTGCGCCAAGGAAGCCATGAGGTATATTAATTTGTAACTTATTTGTCATTTGTTTCATTATATCAGTCATTATTTATCATTAAAATGTAAGCAAATTCAATTTAATAACTATTAATCTAGTGCATTTTATTTAAATGTGTTTCATTTATCTTTATTAATTTTTTTTTTTTTTTTTTTTGAAACATATTTAAGAGCAAATAAATAGAAATTTTCAACTAGTACAATAGAAAAACCCTAAAATTTCTATTAAATTTATATTCTTACAAAGTATTAAATAAAATAGTTGTTCTATAATCAGATTTTTAAAATGATTGAATCAAAAATCAAGTACACCTATTTTATTATTAATAAATCTATAAGAATATATAAAAAAATTCTAAAGATAAATAACATCTTATATAATAACAAATAAATAATAATATTTATTAATTCAACTAAAATACTTCTTATATAAAAAAAAAAATTCATCAACACCTATCCAGTTCATCAGATGGAAAAATATTAATACTTTGATCCTTTAGTGAATTAATAATTTCCAATTCATCATTTGTCCAATCAAATTCACACATATAACCTTTATTAATTCCTAATATCTTTAAAGAATTATGAACTTTTTGATAATTATTTACATATGTTAAATAATCCTTCCTTAAATCTTCTTCCCCTTCAATATAAATAATCCATTTTTTCAAATTTGCTTTACAATTATTAGTAAAATATTCGAATGATGATAAATCAATATGAAAGTCTAAAAACAAATATTCAACAAATATCAAATGATCACCCAAAATTTCAACCAATTGACTGGCATAATAATCATGATCAATCTCAATTTTTAAAACTTTCAATGATGATATTTCGCAAATAAGTGGAATCATTGAATCTAAATATTGATCCGAAAAAACTTTAATATGTAAAAAGCTGATATTTGGGCAAGATTCTTTTACTAATTTGAGTGTTTCAGGAGCAATAATATTTAATGATAATTTGTTCAATGATTCATTGCATAATAAGTTAATCATTTCTTTCACTTTAATTAATGCTGGACCAAATCCATTAAAACTACTAGTATCATAAAAATGATCTTCTTCATACCATAACTTTAATTCTTTAAGATGAAATCCTTTCTCAGATAAATTCTCATAGTATTGTGGGAAAAAACCTTTACATTGAGAAAATTCAAGTCGTTCTAAACTTTCCAATTTTGATAAGAATGATAAATCAATGCTTTGAAAATCCACATATCTAAATGACAGTTCTTTTAAAGTTTTTGCTCGAAATTCTAAGGTATACAAGATTTTTTTTATATCTTCTTTTTCACTATTATTTTCAGTATCAATTAATACATTTTCACTATCATTTTCAGTATCAATTAATACCCTTTCTAAAGGCTGTAATTTTATGATGTCCAAAAATGTGTTGGTCAATGCATCGTCAAGTTTAGAAAAACATAATTCACAGTTAACGACACCATTACACAATTTAGACACTTGGCTTAAAAATTCGATGGTATTATTATATATGGTACTATCATTTATTAGATCCAAATAAGCCTCTATATCCAAGGATCTTAGATTTACAATTCCAGGTTTAAAAGAATTAAAAGTAGAAAAATTTGGCAGATCAACATAATTATTCCAATTTACAATAACAACAAATTCTTGTATATTTGAGCCTTCTCGCATAATCATATGATATATAACATTGATCAACATTCGAATTCTATAATCTTGGTATATAGAAGCATCCATAGAAACTCTTCCATATGATTGACTTGATGATGAAATAAGCCAAGATAAGACATGTCTTACACAATAATCGTGATCAACTTTTCTTATAAATTTCCCGTACTGAAACAAAGGTGGTGGTTGACTATTAAAATTTATAGCGAAAGGAATTAATGAAGAAATTTCTTCATCATTAAGACAAGCAATCAAAGTATTTATTAATGAAAAATTATTAGGAGTTGGCAAAGTAAAGGGATCCTTCCAGATTATGGGAATAGAAAATTTACAATAATACCTATTTACGAATAAACATTTGTATAAAGATTTATTATCAAGAAAAAAGAGTACGTCTCTAAAACATTCATCGGGTAATGAAGGTAAAGGCATTATTGTTGATAAAAGGGAATATCCGGAATTGTTATCTATTTATTAATGATTTTAAGGTAGTACAAGTTTAGCCGATGGTACAATTGTGTCAATCGTACAAAAAAAAACGCACCAATAGCAGGAATTAGAATTAATTAAGGTAAATTAATTGATGTACCAAAAATAAACCTTATTTGTCAATAAAAAAATATTTAAAAAAGGTTAATGTGTGAATATATATATATATATTGAAGTTATCATTTGACCAAATATAAAATAAAAAATACTTACCTTCTTTTAGTTAATAATCTCGTTAATAAATGGAAAATGGACCTATACAAAAGTTCGCTCCTTTGTTTTTTTTATTTGTAACTAATTAACCAATTTCTAAAAGTTTTACCTTAACCTCTGCTAGGGTTAAATCGGTTTTGGCCGGAATTACGGTCAATTGTTCTGGCCTGAATTAACTCACCTGATTATTAAAGCCGGAATTAAATTTAACCGGTTAAAGAAAATCCTTTAACTGGTTAATTAACTCCTCAAGAATTTATCTACTATAAATTTGAACCAAGTTCAACAAAGGATTGTCCATATAATTATTATTTATATATATCTTTAACTTATGGTCTTATTTTATAAAGATAGTGCAAGATTCTTTGTTTCTTTATCAAATTCCGCCATTTATTAATACAAGTACAAAAATAAATGAAATTTCTATGTTCTAAACTAATCAAGTAAATAATAACATTCTATAATTCAAAAAAAAAATAAAACAAGAAAATATTATTTTTAAAAAAAAATGGTCACGACAAAAAGGGTTACGGCACATGTCGCGAATTTTTAAATTTGCAATAATTTATTTTGAGCATATTTGTTTCCTAGTTCTGCAGATTTTTTATACCAATAAATTGCCTTATTCATGTCACTTTTAATTCCATTTCCAATTTCATACATTAAAGCAAGATTAAATTGAGCGACATCATTTCTCATGTTTGCTGCCTTTTGATATAATTCAAATGACATTTTTTTGTCGATGCTAGTGCCAATTCCAAGTTCATAACAACGACCTAACATTGTAATACCACCAGAAAATTCTCCCTCAGCAGATTTTTTAAATAATTCAAATGCTTTATCATTATCTTTTGCAACAACCTTTCCATTTTTATAAAATAACCCAAGATTACATAACGCTCTAATATTACCTAAATCTGCTGCTTTTTGATATAATTCAAATGCTTTTTTCACATTAATATCAGTTCCAATTCCATTTCCATAACAATAACCCAACTTATTTATTCCACTTGGAGTTTCTCCTTTTTCTAAGTCTTTTGATAATTCGAAAGCTTTCTTATGATCTTTCTCAACACCTTCTCCATCCATATACATGTTGATAAGTTCTAATTGAGCCAGATCATTTCTTAACTCTGTTGCTTTTAGATATAATTCAAATGCATTTTGTTTGTTAATTTTAGTTTTAATTCCATAATAATGAAAATATCCAAACAAATAAATAGAATCTGAATTATTTTGATTATTTGAGAGCCAGATGAAAATTTCTTTTAGGCATACATTATGATCATTAATAAAATCAAAAACATGTTTCTTTATCACGTGTTCTTCTTTCCCTTGATTTAATTCTTCAAAAATAAGTCTAACCACTTCGTTTATTACAATACTTAAATCTTCTTCGAATATACTTTCATGAATATTTTGAGTTGTAGGTTCAATTTCTTTTAATTTCATATTATCAAAATATTTTATAATTTGAGGTTCCGAATTTGTTAAATTTAATTCTTGTTTATACGATAATCGAGAATAATTATCTTTGTTGGTAACAACTTGTTCGGACATTATTAATAAAAAAATTATCCGGAAAAGTTAAGGATGTTTATTTCCTTTTTTTTTTTTTTTATTCACAAACATATTTATTTAAATGCATGATGTGTTACACTATCGTAAATGAACACAAATTAAAGTAACGAATCGGATAAACAACAATGATTCGGAGTCTGCATATTATTTGCCAAGAAAATAATGCAGATCTTTCCTTTTTTTTAACTCCAACCGGAATTATGTAACGCCGGCCCTGAAAGAATCTTGTCATGTGATTTCAATCCAAAAATAATGCAGGCCAGAATTATAGTACTGGCCTAAACATAAATTCGTCTAAATTTTGGTACGGTATACAATCATAGTTCAGAACAATAAACGTATAAAGACTAGGGAACTGTTACGAGAGCAAAAATTTTTGGATATGTTCTTATTGCACTTACAATAGCTAGGTCACAATTTTTATTTGACTTGTACTTGCAATTTCAAAGTTTCGCACACAACAAATAACAGAAATAATAAATAAATTTTTATGACATAAATTTAGCAGCACATTTTGCGCGAATCTGGGATTTATTGAGTAACACGTGTAACAACCCTATAAAGAACCTAGATACGTTTTTATACGATTTTTTTCCTTAGGAATAACGTATAATAATAATAGCTCGCTGAAAAGATACGGAAAAATGCACAATTCCGTATCGGAATATGCACAGAATTTGTACGGAATTTACATGATTTAGTTACTGATTTATAACGGACTTTATATTATTGCTTACTAAATTTATTGTTTCATATTACAATTTGTTACTAGACTGTATTTACATAAATTTATTTTAATGAAAAGTTTATCCTATCAAGCCAACCATTGCAAACCATAAACAAAAAGAAACTTTAAATTCCATAAGAAACATCAGTAGAAATAGTAGCAATGTTCTTTTAAGAAATCCAGTTTCCAGAAGTACTTAGTCCAAAGAAATAACCTCAGCTATTCCTTCAAAATAAATGAAAAGTGACATTAATAACGTTTCTTTAACTCAATTAGACCAACACTTCCCTATTTACCTATAATTCTGGGTTCGTCCAAGCCT